CAAATCAAATCAAATCAAATCAAATCAAATCAAATCAATCAATCAATCAAAACCAACTCTGTAACAATGAGAGCCAGCTTTACAATGGCCCTCCTTTACAATGGCCCTCCAGGCCTGTCAACCTGATAGTCAAACCTGCCCTAAACCTTTTGGTCATACTCACTGCTTTACAAGCTGTATTCCATTCAAAGGCCAAGCAAGATCTTTGGTTGAAAAAAAGCGGCATGCTCTTTTTCCTTCCAGGGTGGAGAGATGCTCACTCAAGTTGGAGATGTCTTGAGGGGTCTTTTACGCCTGAAGTTCCCCCTCTCATCTCCTGACTCGTTAAGGTTATTCAGTGAACCGACCTGCAAGTTCAGGAGAAAACTTTGTGCGAAGCTGCGAGCGTTGAGCGTTTTGCAATCGCTCAGCTTTGCAAAGACTGCAAAATGCTTCGTTTCACTCCAGCAATTTCTGCCCTTCTATTTTAGCCAAGCTACTGAAAGAGAACTTGATCTGACTTCTGCAAATCAAGGGGAAAGTTGACGTCCCCTGCAGACTGGCGTGGCTAGGTGACATATTTTAAGACCGATCTGGGTCTTAACAAATATTTTATGAATGCACGCTTTGATATATACCTGAGGTTATCTTCAAGTCTTGTACAATTGGATTTCCTGATTCTCTTTCCAGCTGACTGGCAGATAAACAGTGACTCTACATGAGGCCTTCAATTAGTACTTCTGAGCACGTTCCTCGGTGCCCAGCATGCTCCTTACTCTACCTATTTTTAGGTCTAAAGATCTTTTTAATAATAATTTAAAAATGAATAGGAAAGGAACATGCCGCGAAGCAAAACCTGCTTTGTATTTTCAATGCCTTTGGACCCCAGCCTTCTTAGAAAATCAGAGGCGGCTGCAACTTTGTGCTTTCTGGGATCTCGGCATCTGGGAATCGGCCACCCCCCCCATGACTTCATTTATTTTGCAAGAATAACGTGCTCTCAAAATCCAGAATGTGCCCACTCACCCCAAACAGTTGGGTAACGCCGAAAGGAGCCAGCCTCAGCATTCATAATGCATGCAATTATGGATTTCTTTCAAAATCGTGCCACCCCAAGGAATAAGACAGCATAAGTGAGAAACCACAGCTCTCAGCAATACATTTTAACCTAAGTGACACACGCTAATGGGAGAGCTGTCAATAGCGTAACTAGCACTCTGATACAGTTGAATTACTTTCAGTTCGGGAATGGGGCCCGCCCTGCGCACCAGCGATCAGCTCTGAGAATCAGCACAAGCCAGCATTAAAATCCCCACGTTGGAGACCGACAACAGCTTCGCTAACAGGAGTCAGGCCCAATGCAGCCACCACCCAGATGTGCTTTACAAGGCATTTTGAGAGCCACTGTAATTTCCCCAGTTTTTAGCAGGCCATGGGTTGATAAGTGGCTTGACTCTGCCCAAAGACCAGCAACTTAAAACATACTCTGAAAAATTCAGAAGTTTGTGCAATAATACCAGTCGCAATAAAGCAGACTGTAGGATTGAAAAGGATGGAAAACGATGCATTGCAGCTCGGAAGGGAAATGAACCATCAGCTTGTTATTTGTCTCCGTGGCCCACCCATTGCCTTGTAAAACCAAGCAATGTTTTGGGGTTACTGGCAAAAATGAGCTAGAGAGAATGAATTCATCTGCCGAAGCCCTAAAGTCAAGAGCTCCGTGGCCAGCCTCTGGAGGTTCCCCAGCATGATCAAGTTTTAATTTTTAATGTGATGGGAGGGGAACTATCATTAAATCCACGGGTAGATGGTAGTGGTGTTGAACTTCAATTACATTTCTACATCAATGAATTCAAATCAAATTTCATTTCTGTCCATCCATGGTTTTGGAGAGGGGAACCCGCAACGCCAAGCACAGCTCTCGGCTCTGCAAAAGTTGGGTCTCCTTTGTCTGTCATTTTAATCAAATCTCTTTTTCCTATGCCATTAGCTTCATGTAGTATAAGTCACACCTTATTAGTAGGACAAAAGGGCTGATGTAGAGAGTAAGAGAGATGACCTTGAGGGAAATAAGCAAGAACCATTATCTAGGCCAGTGTTTCTCAACCTTGGGAACTTGAAGATGGGTGGACTTCAACTCATGGCTGGCTGGGGAATCCTGGGAGTTGAAGTCCACCCATCTTCAAGTTCCCAAGGTTGAGAAATACTGATCTAGGCAAAGGGGGATGAAGCATTCTTCAAGTCCTGGGAATCAAGATAACATTCAGAAGTGGATCAGGCAGACACCTCCCTAATTCACTGGATTATAAGAGGAGGCACAACAGAACCAGACTTGCAAGATTCTGCTATTATAGCCCATCTCAACGAAGTGTAGTTCTGGTCTTCCTGTGGAGTTGATTTCATGGTGTGGTCTACCTTGTGGGGCTGAGAGCCAACTTACTTTAGGAGCTAGTACACACATGGATTCCTGCAACGTGTTTATTCCTACCGTGGCCAATTTGGGTAGGGCTTTGTCTGTGAAGAGATCCCAGCCCTTGCGATGCGTAGATCGTGGCTTAGTGATTAGCACATCATCCCAGGGGCCCAGCAAGCAGTCGGAGTCACCCATTCCAAACCAAGTAAATAGATTTGGATAGACAGAAAGATCAGGAAAGGGCATTTCCATCTCCCTCATATTCCCTACCCATCTATGCTATCCCCCAACACGGCTTGTGACAATTAAGAGGGAAAGAGACCCCATGGGAGAGGCGCAGCATTGCTAAACAGGTCCTCTCCCACCCACCCCTGCAAGAGGAAAAACACAATCTTTTTTAAACCAAGCCAAACTAGTGCAGTTTTGTTCTGGAAAGACTCCCAGGACTTCTGAATCATTTGAATAATAAGAGATTCAGGCAAAAGCAGGTTGTGATTAACCTCCAAGAAGGCAGAGACCAGACAGCCTTCAGACGCCTATCTAATTTTCAAAGATAGATAGGCACTGGAATCGGTGAGTGTGCAAACCCAGCTCTCAAGCTGTTTTATTGCAAGCGTCTCCGTGCCCTGCTTGACACAGCTGTCTTGGCGTGACTGTCTGAGATGTCTAGTGCTGGGCCAGAGATGTTTCCAGCCCCGTTCTTGGCCTTCAGATGGACGCAGAACAAGGAATGTCTTAAAACACTTGACCCAACCGTGACCATTTGTGAAGGAGGACGGCATCCACCCTGACTTGCGGAATTTAAACAGTTCTGCTTCAGTACCTTAGTCAAGATCAAGGAGCAAAGTTCTTTGCATCCCTACTAAAATCCAAAACATCTTAAAAGGCGGCCAAATTGGGTTTTCTTCTGCAAGTTCGTTCACTCCTTGGCTTTCCCCCCCACTCCCCGTATTCCTCATCCAAATGATCAACTAATATCTCGGTCTCCTCTGACTCCCCCCACAGCGTCAGGAAATCAAGGGGCCTCTTTGGGTAGAGGGAGAGCTCTGATTGCATACGTGAAAGATGCCCCAAAGAAATGGAGATGCTACCAGAGAATGTCGCAATTCAAGAAAGGCCCACGTGGGTACTTTTAGTCTTTGTTTCTATACGACAAGGTTCTGACATCATGTTTTGAATTTAAGAGCTCCCTGGGAAGCTAATGTTTAATCGGGAAGAAGTATGGAAAACAGCCAGATGCAATGCAGGTAGCTAACGAGTAGCTATTAAATCTCGCTACAGGTCACAGCATAGTCAAATATTTCCCTGTGGCAGCATCGCATAAAAGGAAGGAAAGAGAAATGCAAACATTTTTCCCAGGTGTTACCACCAACTCACAAATACAAGATCGTATTTCCTCCACCAACATTAATGGAGGGAAAAATGCATTAAATTTTAGCCTTTCCTACCATATTAAACACGGCACCCACATCTGTTCCCTCTTGCAATGTTTTCGTCTCTGAGCTGGGGTCGAGCAACAGAAATCGTCTGCTCGGTGACCACTGGAAAATTCGCAGATAGAGTTATCCCGTGGCTGAGGAATGGAATGGGATGGAAAGCCGCACAGCTGGTGATCGACTTAATCCACGAGAACAGCACAGCCAAAAATTCAGGTCGGGGACGTTGGCGTGAAATCCTACAAAATCTGATTTCCACATGGAAAAACTCCAGACATCAAGAATAAGGGGAAGAAAAACATAGCAAATCCCACCTGTTGACAGCTGGGGTTGTGGACTCTTAGAGACGTGCTTGAAGGACACCTCTAAAAATGAAAAAAAAACAAAGGACCAAAATAAAGCTAATTGTGATTTCATTAACTGGAATTCAGTTTATTCCCCAGTTGTGCATTTATTTGTTTTCTCTGTCTATCTGAGTGGGGATAAGCTAGATGGAAGATGGATGGACTCAGTTACATTAGTGATGGGTGCACCATTGGAAGATTTGAAGGACCCGGTTGGGGCAGATCACCATGAAGAAAATCTATAAATGTGGTTGTCAAGAGTTAACACCTCCTTGATGGCACATGGTCAACCAACCAATCAATCTTTTTGGGGCTCTGAGGGATTCTACCTTAGATTTTGGGAGGCCCAGAGGTGGGCTACTCAATCCTAGACTTATTTTCATGGGAAATTAGAAGTCTGGCTCCCCTCCTGGGTTGAAATTCCAGGAATCCTATCTTCCTGGGGCTGAAGGACATTATTTATAGGTATTTGGAGTGGACCACCACTGAAAAGATCACAGGGTAAAGCGTCTCCACTTAGGACTGGAGACAGCGAGAGGACACTATATGCCAGGTTGTCCTCTCTGCCTAGAATGACCTTTACCAACGTCTTACGCAACCTTGGGGCAAACCGGCATGATCCCTGAATCCATTTAGCAGCTTAAAGCTTTGGCACCTGAATTGCCTCTCCCAACCCATCTCCTCTTCTTTTTTTTTTTCCAACTGTAAGTCACCCTGTCAGAAAAGTGGTGCAGAAATGTAGCACTGTTGTTTTAAAAATGAACATTTTAAACCCAAGTGATAGCCAAAGAGGGTCAGACTTTGACTTTCTCGTGGCCTTCAGACCACAGACGTTTCTCCACCAATCTAATTTTGGTCACTTTGCTGATGTGCAAAAAGTCACAGATCGTTGTGTGCCCCAAAGGAGCTTTTGGCAAGTCCTCTGTTTTCAGTAAACCCATTTCTATGCTTCAGTTCCCCCAGGCTGTAGTCTTCAATTCTCCTTCCTGCTGCTGACCCTCCCTGCTCTTCTGCCATGGA